GCTCAGGGGACCATATGGGATGCTGGGAATCAAACCCAGGTCAGCCGCGTGCAAGGCAAATGCCCTACCCGCTGTGCTATCTCTCCAGCCCTACATTGCTCCTTTTAAATCGAACTTCCTGCCTACTAGTAGTGATGTAACACTAGAACCTATTACACACCAACAAAGAAGTGTATCACTCAGATCTTTTTTAAATTAGGCAAAATACAAATGTTCACATTACGACACACACAACATTGCAGAGCCTCCTGTAGGATTTAAGTAGGCAAGAGCAACAATCTGAATAGACTGAAGCTCGAAATAGGAGCATGGCCCCAAAGAATTCCTGAGTCCATAGTCTACTTATTCCACTTTGGTTCACAATTTCCTTCACTGCTTTTAAAAGCAGCACACTTCCTGGAGTTATTTATTTACAGATAATATTCAGCTTACCTCTCACCATCTTTCTGCTCTTCCTCAAACACTACCAACCCCGACAACTCCCCAGATAGTTTGGGATTTTCAGCCCAGAGCTCTCTCTCTCTCTCTCTCTCTCTCTCTCTCTCTCTCTCTCTCTCTCTCTCTCTCTCCCCCTCCCTCCCTCTCTCTGTCTCCCCTCATTTCTTTCATATTTATGACCCGTTCATTTTATACAAATAAAAAGGTGTCTCGTTTTGTCTTGCTTCGCAATTCCTTGCCATTTCCTTGTGTGTGGCTGCAAGAAAAAGACATGGTACCTTTGGGCAGTATCCGGACTCATCAGGAAATTCCTCCTGCCCTCCTGTGGGGGTGGGGAGAAGGTGGGTGATGGGATCCAGATGTAGGGCTGCCGCGTGCCAGCAATGCAGATGTGTTACCGAGGCGCATGCCCAGATGGTGACCCCTCCGGGCATTAATTAATATGTCCCAGCTGCGGCTTCCCCGTGCATGCATGCATGCACCTTGATTTCCCTTGCTTCTGGTGTTTATTTATGAGGAACAACATTCCTAGTTTTCTTAGTAGCAGTTACTACTAAAAATGAGAACTTTTTACGACTCTGAAAACTGCTGGAGTATCTTTGAAATTGCAGTGAAATGAAATCCTCATCCCCAAACGGACTTCTCATGCAACTGTTGAATTCCTAATGCAAATTTCTTACCTTTCTCCTTACATATCAATAAAATAGGGTGTTGGGTAAACAAGTTGAAGATAGCTAAGAAATTAAATAGCTGCATGCATAATGCACTATAGTTTTCGATAGTTTTCTTTTATTTCTGAATTACATGGCCTATTTTTAAAAGGTAGCATGTTTATTCATTTGACCACTGTTCTTCACTATTACTTACAGATTCTTGCACCCAGGGAGAATAATTTGGGATCTTCTAGAAATGGATGGTAGATTCACAGGGAGAAAACTTGTTTTATAAAAATTTAACCCAATCATTCCTTCCAATGATCATAGATTGTAAATCTGCACAATTGATGAAATTAAATAGTCTTAAATATTCTGTCTTATTATCAGAAGTATAAAATGAAGAAGCATGGTAGTTTGAACTGAATTCAAATCAATTGACTCTTCGAGTTTTATTTTTATTTTTTAAATTTTTACTTATTTAATCTTTTAATTGAATCACTGTGAGATACAGTTACAAAGCTTTCATGTTTGCGTTTTAGTCATACAATGATCAAACACTCATCCCTTCCCACATGCTGGGCCACGTAAAAACAAAACTACATAAAAACAACTACATAAAATTGTAGCACTGTAGCACTGTCTTCCCGTTGTTCATCGATTTGCTCAAGTGGGCCCAGTAACGTCTCCATTGTGAGACTTGTTGTTACTGTGTTTGGCATATTAAATGCGTCACGGGGAGCTTTCCAGGCTTTGCTGCATGGGAAAAATACTCTCGGTAGCTTGCTGGGCTTTCCGAGAGGGGCAGAGGAATCGAACCTGGCTCAGCTTGCAAAGCAAATGCCCTCTGCTGTGCTATATCACTCCAGCCATAAAATTCGGGTTTTATTTTTAAAGACTCAGCATATATAGGGAGAAATGTAGTGCTGAGTCAAATTCTTATTTGATTTTTCCTTTATTAAAAAATGCATAATGTCATCCTATTATGACATCTTATTATCTCATTCCTACTTTGGACAAACTGGCAGGCTACCGAATGTAGCCTGCCCACACGGCAGAGTCTGGCAAACTCCCTGTGGCGTACCCAATATGCCAAATACCAGTAACAATGATGGGTCTCATTCTCCTAAAGAGCCTTGAATATAACCTCAGGGCTAGGATGAAGGAGACGTTACTGGGGCCTGCTCGAGGCAATCGACGATTAACAGGATGATTTGTGATTGTGATTGTGCTTTTCTATCCGTGGTGGTGGGAAATGGGCACTGGTGGAGGGATGGGTATTTGATCATTGTATAATTGAAACCCAAGCACAAAAATTTGTAAGTCTACAACTGTACTTAATGGTGTCTCACTAATAAAAATTTTTTTAAAAAATGCTTTTCGGGGGTCTGAGGTGGGGTCTTTTTGTTGTTGCTTTGGGGCCACTTCTTCCTCTGTGCATAGACACCTCTGCTGGCGGGGCTCAGAGGACCATAAGGGGTGCCAGTGATTGAATGAGGGGCAACGGGATGCCAAACAAATGCCTTGACACCTCTACTATCTTTCTAGCTTGAGATGATCCAATTTCTTAAAGTTAAAAGATGAAAAACAAAAATAATAGGTGATCAGATTTTAAAAGGTAAGTTTCTTGTCCATTTCCTTCTTTAATTTCTGAAGAAATTGACTAAAGATCTAAACCTATCATTTATCATAAACAATGACCCATACTCAGGGTCAAATTACAAAGATGCTAGTGCCAGAGAGAGAGTAGAGTGGGTAATGCACTTGCTTCGTACACAGCTACTCTCAGTTGAATCCTGGCACCACATATGGTCCCTCAAGCTTCACCAGGAGTGATTCCTAGGCAGAGAGCCAGGAGTAAGCCCTGAGCCTGCCCAGTGTGTCCCTCTAAAAAAGAATGAACCCAGATCTTTCTAAAAGATCCAAAATCATTCCCCTTAGTTGCCTCCTTTTTTTTTATCACATGGTGAAGGAAAGAAAACAAATAATTGGATGTGATAGCACAGCGGTATGGCATTTGCCTGGTGCGCAGCCGGCAGAACTGGGTTTGATTCCTTTGTCCCTAATGGAGAGCCCGGCAAGCTACTGAGTGTATCTCACCTGCAGGCAAAACCTGGCAAGCTACTCGTGATGTATTCAATATGCCAAACACAGTAACAACAAATCTCACGATGGAGACGTTACTGGGCCCGCTCGAGCAAATTGATGAGCAACAGGAGGACCATGATTGTGATACTTTTTAATGCAGATGATATATCTTTGCATATCACTGGAAGATGTTGTGAACTGACCATGAATCTCCTTCCCACTAAACCAGCCTGGTTCAAACCCTCCTTGGCAAAGTATTGCCACAGACTCTATGAAACTCACTGGAAGCGCCCCCCCCCCCCCCACCTGCCTCCAGGATGGTCTGGACAATCCCTAGCACCGCCTGGCTCTCAAGCATAGTGTTCTTGGACATTCTCATTGGCAGTTTGACAGATTGGCAGATAATTGCCAAAAGAGGGTCCTGGGAAACTTGAGCATTGTTTGGATCCCCCAATAATTTAATTTAATTTTAAAAGTATATATATTCTAAAAGTCCCCTCGCCTGTAATGTTGAGCAAATAGCCCATAGGCAGCCTGAGTAGGATAAAACCTAAAGGACCCAGAGTTGCTGCTATTGTGGAAAATGACTGGGGGCCTGGGCGGTAGTACAGCTGGTAAGGTGCTTGCCTTACATGCGGCCAACCTTGGATTGGTTCTTGGCATCCTACTTGGTTCCTCCATCTCCTCCAGGAGTCATCTCTGACGGCAGAACCCAGAGTAAATCCTGAGCACTGCTGAGTGTGACCCAGAAAAACAACAAAATAGAAAATTATCTACTTCCCTTGGGCTGGAGCGATAGCACAGTGGGTAAGGCGTTTGCCTTGCAAGCGGCCAATATGGCTGAAACGAGTTCAATTCCCCTGCCCCTCTCAGAGAGCCCAGCAAGCTACTGAGAGTATCTCGCCCGCATGGCAAAGCCTGGCAAGCTACCCGTGAAGTATTCTATATGCCAAACACAGTAACAACAAGTCTCACGATGGAGATGTTACTGGTGCCCACTGAAGCAAATCGATGAATAACGGGAAGACCGTGACTGTGACCGTGATCTACTTCCCACAATGTGGGACCCCAGTGTGGGAATCACCCCGTTCCCTGACACAGCCTATTTTCTCAGCCCAGCTCAGCTCCTGCCCTCTGGAATTGGAACCAGGTTCAGATCTGTGGGACAGGTCACTTAGGGTTTGCACACAAACAGACAGAAAACAGACTGCAGCACATAAGGGATGGGAAACTCAATAGGTAAATCCAAAATGAATGGTGGGCTGTGGAGCCAGGAGTCAGGGCAAGGGAGTCTCTGGGGTAGGGGCATGCAGCCTTCAAAGCATCCCAGGACCGCAGGCAGGAGAGAACCCAGGAGCTGCTTGGAAGCACAGACCCCATCCCTTCAGTGGCCTCTATGGTGCTGTACATTTGCACATGCTCCTGAGCTTGTCCTACCCGCCTGCTACTCTTGTTTCCGGAGTGCGTCCCATTTGATTGCATCCTCCCTCTGGACTGACCAGCAGAGCACTTGGTCATCTCCAAATTTACGACAGAAGTGAGGCCGCTCTCTCCATGCCTGAAGCCCTGGGGGGGTCAGAGAGAGAGAGTTCACCCGAAAATACCCAGAGGAAAGGAGCCTTGGGACAGAGGGTTCTTGGGATGATCTTGTCCTTCTGTTTTCCAGATCACTGAGCTCCACGCTTTTGCACAGAGATGCATTTTAGAATCTGGCAGTGAGCTGGTAGCCATCGGGGCATTGCAGACCTTTAGAGTCCTGCATAACCCCTGGAGCCTCTGAGAAATTTCCTCCCGGACTTGACTCTGTTGGTTTCCCGACAGCTGGTGACGCTGCTGCAGATGTGGGTTGTGCCTTTGTATTTCACCATCAAACTCTACTGGTGGCGGTTCCTGTCCATGTGGGGAATGTTCTCCGTTATCACCAGCTACATCCTCTTCAGAGCGACACGCAAGCCCCTCTCAGGGAGAACTCCGCGGTACGTCGCCTCTGCTGGCCCATGATCCCTTTCGTCTTCCATGTATCATGACAGTTCATTTCCATGGGTAGGCAGGAGGATGCTACGCTTCCTTTACCTTCAGAAACAGGGGTATTGGGAGTTTAGGGGCTCTGCACTCACCTTCATTCCTTACTGGTTATGCAACACACAGGGAAAAGTTATTACTCTATTAGCTAGTAAAGCCTGGGGATAGAGAAGTGAAAGTGTTGTGAGCATTCTGAGAGAGCACTATTTGCATGCTTGCTTTTAGCTTAGGACTTAATTTTATTCTGCTAGAAATTGTGTGCCACACATCTTGAAGCGGAACAAGTGCTAGAAGTTAGTATTTCAACTTGAAACTAGCTGATAAATATTAAGTCATGGACAACTTATTACTTTCAAAACAAATGAGGCAGGGGCCCGAGTGATAGTACAGCAGGGAGGGTATTTACCTTGTATGCGTTGACCCAGGTTTCGGTCTCCAACATTTCATATGGTCCCCCGAAGCACCACCAGGAGTAATTCCTAAATGCAGAGCAAGAAGTAGCCCCCAAAATAAATAAAATAAAGGGGAAAAAAAAGAAGTAGCCCCCAGCATCACCGGGTATGACCCAAAAGCCAAAAAACAAACAGACAAAGAAAATGAGGCCATAATATCCCAATGACTGTTTGAAAAATCACTGTCAATCTCTGAATGTTTATATAAATTTTCAGATCATTTCCAAATTACTTATAATCGCATCATGTGCTCATTAGCTTGCTCCTTCTTTTGTGAACTAGAGTTCCATTCTATCCAGACCAGTCTGATGGGATAAAGAGAAAATCTATAAAGTCTGAAACGGCAAAAAGATAAGGATGATTTTTTATGTCTATTAGAGAACAAGTTAAGCTCCTGTGAAATATTTTAAAGATGAACCATTTAAATATTTGGTTTTCACCCTCTAAAATGTGGAGATGAATAGCAACTTTTCTTTGAAATGAGAAGGTTGGAAGAGATCCAAGAGTTTCTAGACAGAACCAACGATTTGTGAAGGCCATTTTCACAAGAGGAACAACATACTTGGAGTACTTGTCATGTAATACACTGTTATGTCTGCAAATGTGTGCGCATGCATATGGAGTTCTTTATATTGTGCTTTAGACATTACATGAAAATTCTTTTTTCACTGACTTTAGCTCATAACATATATATTAGATTATATTCCATAATTAATAAAATTTAGAAGTTAAACTAACATAGCAAGATTTGAAAAAGATAAATGCTGTATTGTAATATATCACATTCTCTCTTTCTCCTCCTCCTTCACTCCGTAGACTGGTCTACAAATGGTTTCTCCTAATCTACAAACTCAGCTATGCCTTTGGCGTGATGGGTTACTTGGCCATCATGTTTACAATGTGTGGATTCAATTTAGTTTTTAAGTAAGTATCTGCAGTGAAGACAGTTGTATCTTCAAGCCCTTGCTTGTAATATTTATCAAGTTCTCTGTAGTGCAAAGCCATTTTTGATCCTATAACTTTCCACATAAATATTGTGTTTAGTAGTTATTATTGGTCTAGTCATTGGGAAAGGAAAGGAAACAAAACAAAACAAAACAAAATGCCCAAAGAGTATTCTCTAAGCATAAGTTTTATACCACACCATCTGCACATTTTTTGAAAAATCATCATTAACAACTGGCCTCCATATATTAGAGAATAATTCTTATTGAACTAGAAATTTCCCTCCCATATAATTCTGAAGTGTCATGGTCAGAGAGATAGTACAGCAGGTAGGGCACTTGCCTTGCATGCCATCATCCTTAATTTGATCGCTGGTGCCCTTGAGTACCGTTAAGAGTGATCCTTGAGGGTGCTGGAGTGATAGCACAGTAGGTAAGGCGTTTGCCTTGCACATAGCAGACTCGGATTCGATTCCCATCATCCCATGTGGTCCCCTGAGCACCGCCAGGAGTAATAGGAGTAATACCTGAGTGCAGAGCCAGGAGTAACCCCTGTGCATCCCCAGGTGTGACCCAAAAAGAAAAAAAAAGTGATCCTTGGGGCTGGAGCAATAGCACAGCGGGTAGGGCTTTTGCCTTGCATGCAACCAACCTAGGTTCGATTGCCAGCGTCCCATATGGTCCCCCGAGCATCACCAGGAGTAATTCCTGAGTGCATGAACAAGGAGTGACTCCTGTGCATCACCGGGTGTGACCCAAGAAGAAAAAAAAAGTGATTCTTGAGCTCAGTGCCAGGGATAACCCATAAACATTACTGGGTGTGGTCTGAAAAGCAAAACATAAAAAAAATTATGAAGTGCCATTTCTTTTCTTTTTTAAAAAAACTTATGATACAGATTTTATTTTTTATTGTATTGAATCACTGTGAAATAGAGCATTATAAAGCTATTCATGATTGGATTTCAGTCATACAATGTTCTAACACCATCCACCAGTATAATTTCCCAGCACCAACCAGTATCTCCAGTTTCCCTCCTACCCCTCATGTCACTCCGCATCCCTCCCTGCCTCTATGGTAGGCACCTCTCTTCTCTCTGTCTTTCGTCTCTGTCTCTATATCTCTGTCTCTATCTCTTTCTTTCTCTCTCACTCTCCCTTTCTTTTTCTCTCTCTCTCATTTCTCATTTTAGGCATTACTGTTTGCAATACAGGTACTGACAGGCTATCATGTATACCGTTCACCTACTTTCAGCACTTAGTTCTTGTCCAGAGTGATTGTTTCCAACTAATATTTCTTTCGTATATATTTTCCTCAAGTCCCCTGGAGACTTCACTCCAGGAGCCGCTGGCTCAGGTGACTGTTGGGAGCTTAGTATTGTAAACAGGAGGCGGAATATGTGCTGAATTTCAAAGGCTCTGTGCAAAGTAAATGCCATGTTGTGTGTATAGAAATGATAGTATTGAGGATGTCTTGATGAAATTATTTTACCCTTCTGTAATTTTTCCCTAATATTCTTGGCAGGGAGATAGTGCAGTAGTCCATGCCTTGCTGTGCCAGGCTCTGAGTTTCATCTTTGTGCTATCTCTCCAACCCTAGATCCACTTTTTTTTTTTAGGTTTTTAGGTCACACCTGGCAATGCTTAGGGGTTACTCTTCGCTCTGTACTCAGGAATCACTCCTGGAGAGCTTAGGGGACCACATGGGATGTCGGGGATCGAATCCAGATGGGCCTCATGCAAAGCAAGCACCCGACTTGCCGTACTATCACTCTGGCCCCTAAATCCACTTCTAAAGACATTTCTTCCTTGGGGCTAGAGAAATAGTACAGGGATTAAGCACATACTCTGCACACAGCAGACTCTGGTCCCCAGCACAGGGTCCTCCAAGCACTGCCAGGTCACCTCTGGAGCCTCCCAGCACTGCTTGCGGGGAGGGGATCTCCAAAACAAGAGATATTTTCCCTAAAGAGTCCTAGAGGGGGCTGGAGCAATAGCACAGTGGGTAGAGTGTTTGCCTTGCACATGGCCGACCTGGCTTCGATTTCCAGCATTTCATATGGTCCCCTGAGCATCACCAGGAGTAATTCCTGAGTGCAGAGCCAGGAGTAATCCCTGTGCATCGCCAGGTGTGACCCCCCCCCCAAAAAAAAAGCAAAAAAAGAGTCCTAGAGTGTTTGATAAAATCTAACCTTGGGAGGAGGGCAGGGCAGCATCTGCCTGGTGGCCGAGGAGCTTGGTCCCTGCTTTTAGTTTGTGCCAATGGCCATTCTAAACAAATCCTTTTTATCTAGGTGTCCATATTTGTCAAATGTAAAGCAGGGTGGATCAACCTATTTCAAATATTTGTCCATTGAGATTGATTCCTTGAGGGCTGCCTATAAGCCTGAGCTGGAGAGCAAGGATTCTTCTTCTTCTTTTTTTTTTATTTCTAATACTTTCCTATTATGTACTTTTTTAAAAAAATGTTTATTAGTGAAACACCATGAGGTACAGTTGTAGACTTACAAATTTTTGTGCTTGGGTTTCAGTTATACAATGTACAATGATCGAGTACCCATCCCTCCACCAGTGCTCATTCTCCACCACCACTAATCCCAGTTTCTCTCCCATCCCCCATCCCCCATCCTGCCCTGCCTCTGTGGCAGGACATTCCCTTTTGTTCTCTCTCTCCTTTTGGGTGCTGTGGTTTGCAAAAGAGGCATTGAGTGGCAATCATGTTTGGTCTATAGTCTACTTTCAGCATGCTTCTCCCATCCTGGGAGGATCCTCCCAACACCCTTTATTTGGTGCTCCCTTCTCTATCTGAGCTGCCTTTACCCCTAGCATGTGCGGCTGGTCTCCAAGCCATGGAGTAAAGGATTCTTGACCCCAGTACAAGGACAGAATGTTCCTGGAGCTCATCACCCAGAAATACACACCCTGGCAGACCCCAGCCCACATCCAGCAGATTCCACTGACACCCAGCAGATTCCACTTCCTTTAATTTTTTTTTAATATTTTTATTTTATAAAGAAGTTCACAATATTTGATTACATTTAATACTCAAACACCAACCCCACCACCATGACACCTTCCTACCACCATATTTCGGATGTTTCCATCCCAAACCCCAATCCCTGCTCCAAAGGGGAACAAAAATAGTATATTTTGTATGGTTTGTTATGAAAAAAATGCTGAAAATGCTACAAAAAAGTATCATTAGAGGACAGAGTGTGAAGATTGTTGTATTTTCACCCAGGGGCCATTAAGCCCTACTATAAGAGATCACTAACATGTTAAAGTTTGAACCTTGTTTGCTTTTATAATATATATGTATATATATATATATATATATATATAATCTGTAAAAAAATTTCCCCCTAAAAATTGGTTGCCTCCCATTTTGAATCCCATCAAATGTGATGTGGTACTCTTGGAGTATGGGTAGGGTATGTCATATGAAGTGTCCACTTCAGGGATTTGCTCACCACCTCCAGGTGACTTTTGCCTTTATTTCCAGCTGAAATTCCTCTTTCTCTCCACCCAAGAGGCTCTTGATCCCCCATGGAGAGCCCCACCCTGCTTTCCCCCAAACCCCAGGTTCAAGAGCTTCTAAAACATTGTTTGGAAACACTTCAGGGAGATTTATTTTTTTATTAAAAAATAATTTTTATTATTAGTGAGACATCATGAGGTACAGTTGTAGACTTACAAATTTTTGTGCTTGGGTTTCAATTATACAATGATCAAATACCCAGCCCTCCACCAGTTTCGAGCTTTTTGTGCGTTTCTCTGTGCACTGACGCTTGAGAACTTGGTCTAAGTGAAGCTACTTTTGAGTCCTAAAAAGTGTTTCAAGACCCTCAAGATTGACTTTTGGGGGCTGGGGAGGTAGTCTGGAGGGTCACGCCCTCTGGGCTTAGTCCCTGGTACCACAAATGATCCCCGAGGACAGGCAAGAGTGATCCTTGAGCATGGAGCTAAGACCAAGTCCTAAACACAGCCGTGACCCCAAACCCTAAATAATAATATCATAAAGACTTTGTCCACTGAGCACTGTGGCCAAATGGGAATTTAGAGAATTTTTCGTCCTTTCATATTCATATAAAAGCCAAGCAAATGGGGGGGATACCCCATAAGGTCTGTTAGGGACTGGGGCAGGACATGTCTTTCATGTTCTCCCTTTACTTCGGGAGTTCTGATTTCCTGACTCTCTTGTCCCAGCAGAATCCGGGCTCGAGATTCCATGGACTTCGGCATTGTGTCGTTGTTCTATGGCCTGTACTACGGAGTCATGGGGAGAGACTTTGCCGAGATCTGCTCGGATTACATGGCTTCCACCATAGGAGTAAGTGCTCTGTTGGGGGATCCCAGGGACCACCGAACACAGGAAGGAGTGTTCCCGTGTGGGCAAGAGGAAGTGTTTTTGATTTTTCCAGACCAGTTGTTCCCTGAATTCTCCTTATATCAAGAAATGCCTTTGTCACGGGGCAAGACTGATAATACAGGGGTTAGGCATATAAAACTGCCCAAATCCCCAGCATCCCACAGTCTCCCAGCATCGCCAGGTGCAGCCCTGGAGGCCCTAAGCACCCTCCCGGCTGGCCCAGGTCATGGCTGGCACCAAGGGGCCCTCACAGTGCAGTGTCCTCTGCGCCTCACATAGAACCGCTGGAAGATCAGTGGACAGGCCCAGGCCCACTGAGCACCACTTGGGAGGTCACATACACACACACACACACACACACACACACACACACACACACACCACTGTCTTTGCAGAGTTAGAACCGCAGATCTCACGTATGCTGGGATCTAAGGCCTGGACCAAAGAAAACCTGCATCTGCCATTGGAAATCACAATCTAAGGGACTCAAGGCAAGACACAGTTAGAGGGGCAGACCGGATGTCGAAGTCAGCCTCCAGGAACCTGAAATCCCAACTACATCTGCATCTGCCGGGCCTCAGATTTTGATGCTTCCACGTTTACATCAGCCACACACACCAGCCTCCCTCCCTGCTCCCTAGCCCCAAGCCTACCAGCCCTATCCGGAGTCCTCCCCACCACCCAGGACCCCACTCCTGGTCTCCTAGGGCCATGGAGAGCAGTGGAGCCCAGGCTAGGAGATGCCTTGGCTGAGTTAGGACCTGGGTACCATCCCTGGTACTGCAAACAAAGCAAAGACAAAGTAAGAAAAATGCATTTTCTACTTCCACAAAATGGTTGGGAATGAAGGCATCTTAAAGCTTAAAGCTAATATATATGCTCATTATTTAGAAGTTTTCATAACAGCATATTTTGATTGCCAGCACTTAAGGGATTCTACGAACTTCAGTAATAACAAACGCCATTTATCTCTGCTGAGTCTCTGTCTACAGCAAGCAGAATTGATGTGTGATGCTGCAGTCAACACTTCAGCTCCAGGGATTGGATCAAAAAAAGATCAGTTGTTGGTATAAACCTCCAACGACTAAGAAGATATCAAATGTTTCCTTGTCGCTCTCCACACGCAGGGCCACCGGGCTGACTGAGGGGCCAATAATGGCAGCTCTCCTCACACAAGCAGCCTCAGAGGTGGGGTGAGTACACAGAGGCGCAAGAAAGACACACAACTCCAGGAACGCTTCGGAGAGACAGCTCATTTATTGCAAGCGGGGTCAACCTTATATTCTGCAAGGGGCAAGAAGCAAACACTGTAGGGGGATTTCCAGAAAATTCTTGCACAAAGTTAATGCCTGCAGAGTGAAAGCAAGGTAGGATAGGATGCTGATTCTTTTTGACTGGGGCCCTGTTCATTCAACTGTCCACTGGCATTGTTTCACTGAGCACACATTTACCAGAGGGGAGGGGAACTGTTGCTGGGAAGGGACTGCCTACTGTTCAGTTTCTCAATCCTCACCCCTAACTACCCCCCAGCTACGCCCCACAACATGTCCCACACTTCTTAATGTGTTCTCTTCTCCACGGAAGCCCATGGTAGAGATTGCATCTGCCCAAAGAACCAAGTCTCAAAGCATCAACTTTCTGGAGACTTCTTTACCTCCCATCCTTCATCTTCTTGTCATCCTGTCATTTCTATTCCAACAACCACAGACATAAATCCACTGCCTCAAGCCATGGGCAGAGCTCCCTGGGACACAGGAACGAAGAGGAGCATATGTGTGCGTTTGAGGTCACGCTCTCGAAGGAGGAGAGGAAGAGCTCTCTGTGTCGCGCTCCTGGGCCCAGCCCACACTCTCGGAGCCAGACTCTGGGCGTGGAGCCAGCACCTCTGCTTTACTTTGCAAACTCCCTAAGAAAAAAGAATGGTTTATGAACCCGGCATGCGAACACATGGATGGATCCCACATACATATTACCAAGTGAAAGAAGCTAGTGTGAGAAGGCTGAGTACTGCGTGGCTCCGTTCATATGATATTCTGGAAAAGACGCAACTATGGAGATGCCAGGCAGCTTCCTGTTTGCCAGAGGTGTAGGGAGAGGTTAGCACAGGGCTCGGTTTAGGGTGGTGAAATGGTTCTGTAGGATGGCAGATAAAAGACACTAAGAATCTGTCAAAACCAATAGGGCTGTATAGCAGAAAGGATGAAACTTCATGTATGTTAATGTAAAAAAAAATTGAGGGACCAGAATGATATACAGTGAGTAGGGCACTTACCTTGCATGCAGTTGACCTGAGTTGGATCCCTGACACCCCATATGATCCCCTGAGTCCACTAGGAATGATTCCTGAGCATAGAGCCAGGAGTAAGCCCTGAGCACTGCAGCGTGTAAACCAGACCCCATTCCCATTTTTTTTTTTTAGCGCATCAGGGAATTTTAGGAGAGACTGTAGACTGTGGTGAAAGACTAATTGTATTACACAGATGTGATTTCACCATGCTGGAGGGGTTGGGAGGCGGGGAAGGCAGGTGTATGTAGACCTGACTAACTCTGAAATGAGTAGAGATTTTTTTGGTTTTGTGTAGGGGGTAGGCAGGTCACCCAATGCACTGAGCTCATGCTTCACATGTGGGACGCTCAGGTTCATGTCCCAGCACTGCATGGTCCTTTGGTACTGAAGGAGCAATCTCGAGCACAGAGCCAGGAATCACTCTTGAGCAGTAGCTGGTGTCACATTAATAAGGGTTGGAGAGATAGGGCAGGGATTAAGGCACTTGCCTTGCATGTGTCTGAGCCTAACTTGATTCCCTGCTCTGCATATGGTCCCCCAAGGACCTCTAGGAATGACCCCTGAGCACAGCCTGATGTGGCTCCCAAACCCCAAAATAAATAAAATAACAAATAAATTTTATAAAATACATTGATGCCTGGGTTTTCTTTAGATCAGAGTCTCCTGGAGAATAAAAGGAAGGGCCAGACTAGTAGCTCAGAAAGCTTTTGTGGGGCTAGAGTGGTAAAACAGGGAATAGTACATTTTCCTTGCACACCGCCTTCCCAGGTTCAATGCCCAGCATATCCCATCTGGTTCCCTGAACACCACCAAGAATGATTCCTGAGCACAGAGCCAGGAGTAATCCCTGAGCACCATCAGGTGTGACACAAAAGTAAAATAAAAAAGTGAAAAAGAGGAAGAGGAGGAGAAGGAGGAGGGAGAGGAGGAGGGGGGAGGAAAAGAAGAGGAAGAAGAGGAAGGAAAGGAAGAAGAGGAAGGAAAAGAAGAGGAAGGTAAGGAAGAAGAGGAAGAAGGAGGAGGAGGAAGGAAGAAGAAAGAAGAAAAGAAAGTTTCCTGTGTGAATGAACTACAGCCCTGCATAAAAACGCTTCCCAGTAGGATCCCACACAGCAGAGAGTGAACTGCAAGTTATGATTTGGGATGTGCCTTGGAGCCAATGCGGGTCTGGCCTCCTGAGCGCCCCTGTTGCATCATTCCTTAGAGGGAAGGAGTTTCAAGTTCTATCTAACCCAGCCACCTGCCCCAAAGCCCGCTGTAAGTCCCACTTCCTGGAATGACATGACTCTCTTTTCCCTCTGTATCCTGTGCCTCTCCCAACAGTTCTACAGTGTCAGTGGGATTCCCACCAGGAGCCTGTCAGACAATATCTGTGCCGTCTGCGGGCAGGAGATCATCGTGGAGCTGGAGGAAGAGGGGCTCATTGAGAATACCTACCAGCTCTCCTGCAACCACGTGTATCCTTTGCACCAGAAACCACTGGGGCTTTATCAAGTCACTGGGGAGGAGCAATCTTTAAATAATCCATGTTGGACTCAGGAAATGGCAAATCAGGGGAAGACTGGCTCAGAACCTGATTCCTTTCTGCCCCCTCTTCTCTCTGTCTCTGCTGATTTCGCTCCATCTCCACACCCCAGGCCGTTCCTCTTGCTATCTTTCTCTGAGACTTCCTTATCATCCTTTCTCAATAGGAACTTCTAATTAAATTGAGCTTCCTTCTCCTCCAAAGAGTCCCTTAATATGGGGAGTGGGGTGGAGAGGAGTGGGAAATTGAGGGTTGGAGAGATAGTACAGGGATTTAAGCATTTGTCTTGCACGAGATGACTTTGGTACCCTGAGCATCTCCAGGAGTGATCCCTGAGCACAGACTGATGTGTCCCAGCTCCTCCCTTTAAAAGGAATTGAGGGCTGGAGAATTATTATAGGGGTTAAACCACTTACCTTGCACACAGCTGACCTCAAACACAAACTCTACATATGGCCCCCAGGCACTTGTTAGGAGTGATTCATGAGCACAGAGCAAGGATTAAGTCCTGTGCACAACTAGATGTGGCCCAAACTTCCACCGTCACCCCCAAAATAGGAATCTTGGAGTGGGGAGATAGTTCTAAGAGCTGGAGCACAGCACGTGGGGGATATTTCTGATTTTGTTTTGTTGTTGTTTGGTGCCACATCTGGCAGTGCTCAGGGCTTACTCCTGGCCCTGCACTCAGAAATCACTCCTGGCAGTGCACAGGGGACCATATGGTGTGCCAGCAATTGAACCAAAATCAGTTGCATGCTGGAGCATGCATTTTTTTATTTAAATTTTATTTTATTTTTATAATTTCACTATTTGTGTGCACTGTAGCACTGCCCTCCTGTTCATCATTTTGATGAGCTCGAGTGGGTCTAGTAGTGTCTCCATTGTGCGACTTATTGTTACTGTGTTTGGCATATCGAATACGCCACAGGTAGCTTGCCAGGCTTTGCCATGCGGGTAAGATACTCTCAGTAGCTTGCTGGGCTCTCTGAGAGGGGCAGAGAAATCAAACTTGGGTCGGCCAGGTCGGTCACATGCAAGGCAAACTCCCTGCTGCTGTGCTATTGCTCCAGCCAAAGTTGTTCACAATGGGCTGGAGTGATAGCACAACAAGTAGGGTGTTTGCCTTGCACGCGGACGACCCAGGTTTGATTCCTCCATCCCTCTTGGAGACCCCGGCAAGCTACCAAGAGTATCCTGCCCACACAGCAGAGCCTGGCAAGCTCCCCGTGGCATACTTGATATGCCAAAAACAGTAACAACAAGTCTCACAATGGAGACATTTGGAGACATACTGGTGCCCGCTCAAGCAAATCGATGAACAATGGGATGACAGTGCTACAGACAGTGTTCACAATAATTTATTACATTCAATATTCCAACAACAATCCCACCACCATTACACATTCCCATCACTATTATTTCAAATTTTCCCACCACCACCCAAGCCTGCCCCAAAAGCCAGGTCCTAAAGAGTTTATTTTGTTTTGCTTGTTGTGACTAATCTGCTAAAAATGATCCCAAAAGTTTTCCTTAGAGGAAAGTGTGTGAAGATTGTTATATCTTACTCTGAAGCCATTAAGCCCTTGTATAAGAGATTACTAACATATTGTTATGGTTGAGACTTGCGAGGTATATATATTATATCATATATATATGTATATTATCAAGATTGGTTGCCTTCAACAGTGGCGTAGAGTTATGAGAAGTCATATGGCTGTGAATGTGGCCACATGCTCCAGGAATTCTAAAATTTTAAATAGGGTGATACAGCTGGAGTTAAATTTTTAAGTGGATGGTGATTTGGGGTCCAGAGGCATCTCTGCAGCTTGTTTCTCTCCCTGAGATTTATTTGTGAGTTTCTGGATCATGGCCTTTAATGAGTTTATATGGCACCAGAGGCAGTTCATGGGTGTGGCTGATAGGTTTCTGGAAGAACAGGGAGATGGAAGGAGGTTGCTCATCTCCAACTCCATGAAGGCCTGGAGATTTCAATCACAAAACCTGCATGTCTGATTGTTTCAGCAGATTCATTGTCATGCATGAGGCTTGTTCCAAGTCTGTGGAAATCAACCATGAGGATGACAGCGATTGGTTTCTGGAGGTTTTTGGCTGCCAAGGCTTTTTTTGGATGGTTGGTGAGCTCACTGTCCCTTTCCAGGATGGAGCATGCATTTTACATTTTAGGATCCCTGAATTTGATTCCCACCACTGTGCGGTCCTCTGACCACAGTCAGCACTCAAGCACTGAGCAGCTAGTAGTTCCTGAGCATCCATGTATATATGCATATGATCTACTCTCTCTCTCTCTCTCTCTCTCTCTCACACACACACACACATACACACAAAACTTTTATACCACTACCACTTGAACAGGGAGGTTGTAGGCAGGGGGCTGCCTAGAGGAAGCTGGTCATTAGTGAGCAGACAGTAAGAAGCATGAAAAGAAAAGATTCAAGGGTGAAAATGGTGATGTTTCCAATTCAATCAGCTAATCAGTGGCTGAATAAATAGCAGTACTCCTACAAAAAAAAATAGTGATGTTTCCAATTCAGGGAGGATCTGGGCTCTCAGATGGCACCCTGTGTTTGACTTTCCTGGGACTAAGGAGAACAAAACATGCTTGACCTATAAGTAATTCTAGGAATTCCCTCATATCAGTATGGAAGTGAGGAGAATCAACTTTCTGATTTGGGTTTGCAAAGAAGAGGAGGCCCCTTAGATAGCAGGACCCCTTCGATGACAAAAATAGAGATTAAAACTACAAAAGTGGAGATCAAAACTTGAACTAGACAGATACTTCATAAACCAGCTTCCCACCTGTGGGTTCTGACCCCAAATGACCATCTACTTAGTGTGGGGTTTAGGTGTAAGGGACCAGGCAAGCACAGACCTGGAAACCAGAAATCCCCCATCAAACCCAGAAACCTTTAAAATATATTGACACTGGTGTGCACCACCAGTGGCTCACACTTAAATGTGGCTTAACACAAATTGCAGAGCCAGCATCAATGCTCCAACGTATTAACGTACTCCTCCATCAGTGCAAAGTTGCTGGGATCAAGAGTCATGAGAGAAGCAAGCTGTGCTCCCTGTTAACACAAAACTCAGGCACCCAAGTTGTGCTTGAGTTGGCCAATCATCTGTATTCTAAGTCCAAAAAAGTCACCATACACCTATACAATAAAATATCAATTTTATAATATTGCTGTATGTCCAATTGGTTCAAAGATGTGGACTTGTCAAGGGGTTAAGCCATCTACCTGCCTTTCGCCAGCCAACTCCATTAGTAATACCCTTGATATGCAGGGGCGATGACTCAATTCTGTTTAACCTGGATAGCGGCCCTTTATGCAATCTGGATGGTGAAAGATTGGACCAAATGTGTCTGAAATGTAATAAGAGCATTTACTTCAGCATTTAAACCTTAATACTTTAAAGAAAGAAACCCAAAGATATCCCACGTGGAATTCTACAGTGGTTTTATAATACCATTCCCCAGATCTATCATTCTTAGTGGAAATTTTCCATGTCTGGCCCTAGTTTTTGATATGATTTACTTCTCAAAGGTTGGAACAGAGCCCGTTCTGCCATTTATAAGTGGAAATATTTTCTCTCTAAGCCCTTTGGAGTTGCTAGACGTGAGTGTCTATGTAATCCAAAATGTAGTCGCCTTTCAATTTGCTTTGAGGGAGTATTATGAATGGCTCCTTTTAGTACGAGTCATGGGTAAGTATAAGTCATATTAACCAGGGGAGGGTTGATCTGAATATGGCTCTGCAACCCTACCTGGGTGGCAGCTTTTCAACTTTGACATTTTGAAGATGACAGGGAAAATTAAAGAAATGTAATGTTATTGACCCTGAAGTCTAGACCAACCTAGAAGATAGGACTCTCAGCCAATCCTTTTGAATGAAGGAAGATAAGGAAGGATGATAAGGAAGAATCTCTCTTAGAATTGGGTATGTCTTGTTAACTCAAGCTTATCACAAAAGAACTCCCATTCCAAGAATATAAAATTATTATTTTTATTATATTTTTATAATGGCAGAGCCTGGCAAGCTACCCGTGATGTATTCGATATGCCAAACACAGTAACAAATCTCACGATGGAGATGTTACTGGGCCCGCTTGAGAAAATCGATGAAGAACGGGAGGACCATGACCGTGATATTTTTATAATATTTATATATAATTATTGTAAAAAATTATAATTCTTATATAATATATTTTAGTCTCCAATGAGTGGAGACTCCTAGTTGCACAGAGATCTGATAATGAGGAATCGTATGGGGGTGCCTGATCTTTTCCGCACCTTCATGATACCGCACCGTTGGAGAGGGGAGCTGCACATGCCTGCTGTTCACCGGTGTACAAACATTGAGATCTTATCCCAAAAATCATTTGCAATCATGAGCATAGAAGTAAATAAAGTGATAAGCTAGAACTCATTAGAGTTAATAATTTCCCTCTAGATCTACAAAGTTGTGCTTCTGGGGAAATTTATTTGCAAAGTAATCAGTTTTGAGTTGTTCCCTCAAATATTTGTCCAATGAAAAGGCACTTAGAGACCACATAGGGTGCAGAAACCATGATAAATGAGTGAGATATCCCAGTGAAGTAGCTTATGGCCCAGGAGTGACACAGAGCTGAGCAGAAAAGCATGTCTCTGTGTGATGTGTGCTAAGAAGAGCAGGGAACTGGTGCTTTTAATAAACACAGGGTTTATGGCAACCTTGGGGACAAAGAATCAACTTTTTTGACTGGGGAATGATTTTTAAATGCCTAGATTTTCAGCAGTTTATTAGCCCTATGTTCTATCTAAAATAACTGGTTTGGGTGAGAGAGGTAACTCGACAGGTTAAGCACATTCAGAGTATGCTTGGCATACAGGGAACCCACGTTTGATCTGATGTCCTCAGGACCAGATAGTCTCCTGATCAGTGCCAGGAGTGACCCCCAAGTACTACCAGGTGTGGCCCAAAACAAAATAATTAAAATATTTTTTAAAAGCTGCTTCTCTAGGCCAGAGAAAGAATACTACATGCAAGGTGCTTGCATTGCATGTGGCTAACCTGGTTCAATCCTCAACACCCCATGCTGTCCCCTAATCACTGGCAGGAGTGATATCTGAGCCCAGAGCCAGGGGTAAGGTTGAGCACTGCTAGGTGTACCCCCCCCCAAAAAATCCAAGGGGCCAGAAAGATAGTACAGCAGGTAGGGTGCTTCCCTTTGGGGTACCAGGGATTGGCAGCTCAACCCCATATGACCCCTCCCCCCCAAGCACCTCCAGGAGTGATTCCTGAGTGCAGAGCCAGGATTAACCCTGAGCACCACTGGCTGTGGCTCCAAAACCAAAAACTAATACAACAACCACAAAATTCTTCTCCTTAGTATCACTATCACCCCGTTGTTCTTCAATTCGCTCTAGCGGGCCCAGTAACCGTCTCCATTCGTCCCTGTCATGTACAAGTGTAGCCCGATGACATATTGGGGGCTCCTTCAGGGTCAGGGGAATGAGGACCATTCATTGTTACTGATCTCCTTAGCAATTTTTTTTAAAGAGAAAAAAAAAACTTAGGAAGCTAATAGATACACTTGTATGTTTATGATCACAAATAACTTAAGCTTATTTAAGCACAAATCTGATTAGGAAGTTGATAAGCAATGTACAAGAAGTAGAGTTGGCATGTGGTCTGATGCAACCAGGAGTGATGCACCAGGAGCTAGGTGAGAAAAATGATTGACTTATGTAGAAAAACACTTTCACATCCTTGATCTATTTAATTCCTTTGAGGCAGCGGGGTAGGGGTGGGGGAGACCCATACACAGTGGTGCTCAGAGGCTACTCCAGGCTTTGCTCAATGGCTACTCCAGGTAACTGCCACAGAATCATATTTAATTCTAGCTATTGAACAGGATAGTCCACCTGCACAGCAAATGCCTTAACTTCTATGTCATCTCTCTAGCCCAGTCTGGTTTAATTCATATGAGAGTCGAGTGAGACCAGGAGAAAAATGTAAGACCAAGTTGCTTAATAAATTCCTTAGTATGGTTTAATTCATATGAGAGTCGAGTGAGACCAGGAGAAAAATGTAAGACCAAGTTGCTTAATAAATTCCTTAGTTAAGTTTCTCTGTGTACAAGCTCACTGTCCTGGGGGTTCCGTTCCCACCCTCCACTTCAATCTCCTGCACTTGCAGTCATTTCCTTCAATCATCATGATGCAGATGTTGCCCTTTAAGTTCTAGAAACTTCCCTAACAAGATGCTTCAGCTTTCATGAATTCTGCATCCGAGGATGGTGTATTGTGGGTAAAAAGCAGACTTGTCCTTACTGCAAAGAGAAGGTTGATTTGAAGAGGATGATCAGTAACCCGTATCCTTTTTTCTTAAAGTGGTAGTATTTTATCTTATGACTTTTGGTGAGACATTTTCCAACCTCATTTATATGATCTTTTGTCAAAGCAGAAAACATTTTACCTAGCCACCTATTTTAAAACAATTTACTGGGTTTTTTTTTCACCCTGTGCCTATGTACTACAATTCTGGTTAAGAAATTGGATGCCAAAATAGAAACATTCCAATTTTTATGTTCTATATATTCCACTTTAAGAACATTCAAGGGAATGCTCTTGAAAATTGTGAAAGATGGGAAATGCATGAGACAATGATGATAATAGTTAGATAATACATAGATAAGATTCGTGGTGTTTGAGTGGATGAATAATTTGGAATAGAATGTTTTAAAGCCCCAAATGTGGAGTAGTAATTTAAGTATGTTCCAGATATTGTTTGTACCAAAAAATAGGTAGATTCCCCCCCCCCCCACTCAATTTTGACTTTTTAAAAATTCCATGTCATGTCTCATCTTCTCTTAGGCTAATCTCACTTGGTCAGCTTATAGCAGCAACTTGGATTTGGGGGGAGGTTTGCTTTTGGGTCACACCCTGTGGTGCTCAGGGACCACTCCTGCTGGGCTCAGGGATGAAATGGGATGACAGGGATTGAACCCTGGTTGGCCACGTGCAAGGCAAGTGCCCTACCCGCTGTAATATGGCTCCAGCCCCATCAACCTGGATTTTTAGAGATGCTAAGGAATCTTTAGTAGGTAAGCCAAAATATCAATCATGTCTCAAACGTAGTTGCCCCATCTTGAGATGATTACTAAGACTTCACCCTCCTGCCCCCAGCCCTGCTGTCTCTTTCCAGGAGTCAGTGGGATGGAAACATCTCCGCTAAAGAAGCACAATGAGGGGCTGGAGCAATAGCACAGCAGGTAGGGCATTTGCCTTACATGCAGCGGACCTAGGTTTGATTCCCAGCATCCCATATGGTCCCCCGAACACCGCCAGGAGTAATTCCTGAGTGCATGAACCAGAGTGCATCGCTGGGTGTGACCCAAAAAGCAATAAATAAATAAATAAATAAAAAAGCACAATGAGGAGATTGATTTCCACCGACCAAGGGTCTCCACAGTTTTGGAAGGGAGGGTCTTCTAAGCAGATCAAGGAGCTGCCTGTGCTGTGGGGAGCACATCCCTTGTTCGTGCTCTCCCTGTTCCTCAGCAAATCAAAAGGCATAGCTTTTCACAATGGTCATGGGGAGCACCGAGCTCACCTCTGGGGCTGCAAGCTAAGGACAGGCTTCCAAGCAGAGCCACGGTGGAGGCTATTATTGTTATTATGGTTTTTTTTTTTATTTTTTTGCTTTTTGGGTCACATCCAGCAATGCTCAGAAGTTACTCCTGGCTCTGCACTCAGGAATTACTCCTGGCGGTGCTTGGGGGGACCATATGGGATGCTGGGAATCGAACCCAGGTCAGCCTCGTGCAAAACAAACGCCCTACTCGCTGTACTATTGCTCTGGCCTGCCTTTAGGTATTGGAGCCTGGGTTTTCCAATACACTCATTCCCCTCTTCTTTTTCATTCTTTTGTTCATATGTGGCCCTTGCTGTTGTTTTTCCTTTCTTCTTTTTGGGGGACCAGATCTGGCAATGCTCAGGGGTTTCTCCTGAGCATTCCTGGCATTACCCAGGGGACCCTAAGGGATGCCAGGGATTCAAACTTCGTAGGCCATAAGTAAGGCAAATGCCCCACCTGCTGTACTATCACTGTGACCCTTGTGCTTTTCTTTCTCTTTGGGGACTATATTATAAACTTTTGACTTATGTTTGCAGACTTAGATATGGTAGAAAGAATAAGGATAACCAAATGTTTCAAATGTCTTTTAAAGAGCTTTTAAGTGAGTATTTATTGACCAAAAATACCCCCAAAAGCCAGAGAGCTAGTACAGGGGGTTAGATTCTTGCTAGAATGTACTGATCTAGGTTTGATCCTTGTGAACACATATGGTCCCCTGAGCACTGCCAGAAGTTATTCCCAAGTGCAGAGCCAGGATTAAGCCCTGAGCACCACCAGGTGTGGTCCAAAAACCAAAAGAAAGGAAGTACACACTCATTACATTGGTTATATTTGCAAATGATATTTATGAATATTTCTGCTACTTGGCTCATATCAAGTAACCTCCTTAACTGAGATTTAGCTGGGAGCACACACATATTTTATATGGACAAATCCTGGATTGGCTTCGTTATTTGGTGGCCTGGCAACCGGTGGTGATCGGGGTAGTTCAAGGCATTAACTATTCACTGGGGCTGGAATAGAGCCCCCAGAAGCAATACATTGCATGTTGCAATTTTTAGAAAATCCTTGTCCCTGGATTTAATATTGATGTTCTTTTCAAAAGCTGAGACATGATCCCAAGAGTGTGGAGAGCCAAATAAAATTTGGTGTTCCACAGAAGGTAATTTGTCCATGTGGAAAGAATTTAAAGAGTAGCCGAACAATGGAATAAACAATAAAGGATTCTTGGCATTCCCCCACCCACACTACAGTCGTTTTCCAATCCATGCATAGGATACACTGCTTACACACCCCGCGGGGAGGTCCTGCCTCTACTTTAGCTGATAATGATCTCATCGGTCAATTGTTTCCCGGGGGCTACCAGGGATAGCTCGGTGGTCGAGTGCCAGCCTTGCAGGCACGAGGCTGAGGGTTGGATCCACATGCCAAGTGCAGCCCAGGCGGCATTGCTGGCACCCCCAGCGCCACAGCCAAGTGTTTTATCTCCAGCAAACAGCGGAAGTTACGTGTATCAGCACCACAACCGAAAGTGTGGGCTACCCTGGCCATCACAGCAACAACAAAGAGAAGGGAAGTGGGGGCTGGGGGGGAGAGGCTTAAGAGGTCTGCTAAGGACTTCTCAATGCAATCTTCAATGCTACCAATACCTTCTCATCCATGCGGCATGTTCCAAGCAGCAGGCAGGGCGTGAGGTCACGTATAGTTTTAGGCCATGGTCTTTCCGCGGTCAATGCTTGTCACTGCATGCCAGCTGAGGTATCAGAGAGTCTTCTGTATTGAGAAGATTGTACTCAGACCTCCAGGGCCTAGCCCACCCCATGGGCTCAACTTACCCTGCGTTCACCCCTTCCCATGGCTGCGCTTCAGGGAAGTCAAGACTCACTGTTCTAGGCCACTTTGCAAATACATACAAGCACACTCACACCCTCTGTTTTCTGCTTTTATTGTCTTCAAAGCATTTCTCCATTCCTGAACTCTAGTTCTAGATGTACTTGTTATTCTTCGTGATTCTTCTTCTGACCCTCCATGAAGGCAGGGAACTTTGCTCCTTGCTGTATCTCCCACACTTGGAGCAGTGCCCGGCAAGAGATCGCATCCGGTAAATATTTGCTGAAAGACTGAATTGGTCCAGCAGGAAGGAACCAAATTTGAAATTTGAGAAGACCCATCAGAGAGAGTAAAGCTAAAGATGAAATGTTGGCCTCTGCAAGTTAATTCCTTTTAAATGCTGGTCATTTGTAGAACAGCCACCGCTGCATAACACCAGACATCTGAATACTCTGCAGTCCTTGAAGACATTCCACTTGTATGAAGCAACTGGAAGCACCCCAGTTGTACAAATTGAATTTAATACAATTCAGATTCTATCCAACTAGGTGGAGCAAATTTTTCCCATCCGTAATCTTTCTTTTTGAAATTTCTCATTGCTCCATTACTTTGATTGGTTCCCATCCAACTTATTGGAAGGTTTAATCTTATAACTTTCTCCACTGAGCAAACAATTCAACAATTCAGTACTTATCATGTACTAGATCTGTACAAGGGTTAAGGAACTAAAAGAAGGTTCTTGAGATTAGAGTTTACTGAGCAATAAAAAACATCACAGTTAAAGTATTCCTGAAAAGAGAGTTTTCCTTCTGTAATAGCCCTTCAGTTAATCTCTTATATGTTTATCACTTATGGACAATTGCATAAGTGTGGATTTGATAACTCTTTACAACTATGGGCCAACTAATTTTAGGTACTTGCATGAAATTTTGAATGACTCTCAAGTTCAAAACTGTTAGATGACCTCAAGAAAAAAAATCTCAGAAAAATATTTTTAATTTTTTTTTCATTATTATTCACTGTATAAAGAAAATGCTACTTTATATAGTGAAAGTATTTAAAATTCTGATTTTAATTTTAGAAAGGACTATATAGCTATCTCTCTATATGTATATTCTATCCTATCTATGATTATCTAGAGAATATGTATAATGTTTTAATAATGATTGAGGAATTATACGTTACATGAATGGTAACATATTCCTAAGGTAAAGGGATAATAGCTGGTTCTTATTATATTTGCTTTCATCTCATCTCCCAATGGCTGGAGCGATAGCACAGCGGTAGGGCGTTCGCCTTACACGCAGCCAACATGGCCGACCCGAGTTCGATTCTTCCGCCCCTCTCGGAGAGCCCAGCAAGCTACCGAGAGTATTCGATATGCCAAACAGTAACAACAAAGTCTCCAATGGAGACGTTACTGGGCCCGCTCGAGCAAATCGATGATCAACGGGAGGGCCTTTACCTTTACCTTTACCTTTACCTCATCTCCCAAAATTCTACAGTGGATGGATCTGTTTAACATTTGTGAAGAGAAAAAGATTACTTTAACACCGTTACATTAATCCTACCAATTATCTATGGTGCTATTTTTACTGCTATTGAGCCTTGCACACAGGTAACTCAAGTTCGATCCCCAACACCACATGTGGTCCCCAGGAGTGATCCCTGAGCACAGAGCCAGGAGTAAGCTCTGAGGACTTCCATGTGTGTCTCCAAAACAAACAAATTCAAGCTGTAGATCAAGCCCATATTTAGACTAAGCTTTTGCTCTATGTAACAAAGAAGAGTCAAGCAAAAAGTTCATTCTTGTGTTTGATTTCCATGGCACCTGCTAGTGTCTTTCTCCTGAATTGTCATTTTGTTTGGTGGACTGCCTGCTCTTTCCTCCAAAACATTCTCCCAGGTATTCGTACAGAAAAGAACCATATTAATGAACTCAAGAGCTATAGCCTATTATGCTCTTAATGGATGTATTTATTTACTTTTAATGTAGGAGTACTACTGTTTATTCAGCCATTGATTTAGCTGATTGAATTGGGCATGAAGTCCACATTGCTTTTTAAAAAATGTTTTTTAATTGGATATCCATTTGTGAGATAGACATTGCAAATCTGTTCATAATTGAGTTTCAGTCACACAATAATCCAGAACCAATCCCTCCACCAGTGTACATTTCTCACCACCAATGTCCCCTGTTTCCCTACCATTATCCCCCACTCTCCACCCTCCACTCCCAGTCTTCCCCTATGGGAAGTACTTTCCTTCTTGCTCTCTCTCTCCTTTTCCTTTTGTGAATTAGGGTCTGCAACACCGGTGCCAAGAGGTCATGGTGTTTGTTCAGGGCATTTGGTGTTTTTATCGGGACAGTAAAGCTGGGGTAGCTTTTTAATTGGATGTCAGCTTTGGGGTGTGGATATGACTGCTGAGGCTTCTGGAAGTACAGAGAGGTGGGGAGGTAGCACATCCCGACCCCAAGTAAGCATGGAGATTTCAGTCACAAAACCCGCATACCAGAATTTGTAGCAGATAATGTTTTGGTGAGATCCGTCCTGAGACAGTATAGTCAGGCTGCGGGTATGGCAGTGATTTTGGATTGTGGAAGCAAGCGGCTGCTGGGAGCTCAGCTTGGGCAGGCACCAGACTGACTTTCCCCCTCTGATTTACCTCCTTCTGTTCAGTCATGTGCGAGTCTGAGATTAATTGCAGCTTTTGATCTCTTTCAAGATATATTTATGAGTCTCTGAAGCAAGGCAGGTAATAGAGCTTACATGGTGATCCTGGAGCTGGTTTGTGGAGGTGACTGCCAGTGCTTCCATGAGTATTGGGAAGTGAGGGAAGGTAGCCACCCCAACTAATGGATGTATTTATGTGGGCTATTTCCCTGAGTACTCTGTGGTCCTGAGCACAGTGGCACACAGCCCTGTTGGCCCCTTGTACCGCCAGGCCCAGGAAATATTTCATTACTGCTCCCAAATGTCCCCCAGAGCACCCTAGTTTTCTGGGTGTAGCCCTTATAAACATATCGCTCACTTACATCACTACCAGTTACCCATCGCAGAAAAAATATTCTTGTTTTTCTAAACCAGTGTATATCAGGAGATGAATTACTTCTTGGAAAACATTAATAATATTAACAATAGCTGACAATTGACTCTATACATCCCTGCCATGCCATGAAGACACCTAAAGTCCTTGTCTAGGTTCTCTTGCTCTCCTCACCCCTCAGAGGAAATGATAACCCAAGATATGTTCTCAGTGACCTACTGGCATTTCTGGGCACTGATAGTGACATTTTGTACCCTACTTTAAGGGCAGGAGAGCACTGAGAGGTGAAGTGTGTAGCCTGAGGAGACACAAAGCCAGGACCTTCTGTTCCCCGGATCCCAGGTAACTACATTAACCCAGTCGGGCTGAGGATGTTGCAGGGCCAGAGGCAGGATATGGGCCCCAGCTTCAGGAATCACGCCAAACCCATAAAGAACTCATGACATCTCGAATGTAAACATTAGCAATGGCAGTGGCCACAATCTTTAAAAAAATTATTGCACATCAAATTTTATTGGAGTCATTAGGGGTCATTTGTCTAAAAATGTACTTGGTTAAACATCAAGTTAAACATATGTACCATTTCAGAGGGAAAGGGGGAGGGGAGTCTTGCTTTAAAATTAGAAACAAGACTTTTATTTTTAACTGAAACAGTTTTATTTAGAGAAACAAGAGAGGTGTGACAGGAGTGAATGGGAGAAGAGAAAAAAAGGGGGGAAGGGTAGTGTTCAAGAGAGAGTATAGACTCCTCCAGATGGAAAAGCCCTCAAGTACAAATCTCAAGATGAGGGTGAGTCCACAAGGTGGCAAATGCCAGAATCAGAAACAAGACTTTTCAAAAAGGAAAAGTCAAGAGCTGCAGAAAAAAGACTAAAACATGGACTGTAAGCTTAAATGAACAACCCGAATTACACTTCATGGCAGGGGAAGGCTGAAGGGCGTTCAGGAAGTCAGAGGCATCATTCCACTGCGTCTAGCCTGAGATGCGGATGTACTCCACTTTCCTGCTTTCACAGGGAGACATCATTCACTCACTGCATTTCTGGGGCTCAGGACCTTCTCTCAAGTAACTCTAGCTCGAACAACCAATGTAATCCCAGAAATTCATTCCTGGTAGGCATGATAACATACCCTCATGTATGCTGGGATGTATAATGGGGCACAGAGCACTGTTTTCCTAGCAACATGTTTGGCAGAGTGATCAAAACATTTTGCCAGCTGTGCTGGAAAGCAGTGGTAGAGAAAAGGGACAGCTCGGTGGCACAGACAATGTCCTTGGTCAAAGCAGCGAGCCAACCACCAGCTCGGTTTGAAATCTTCTGTTGGTTTCTGCTCATTCCAAATTGCTACAGGGAAGCTCGGTTGCTATAAATAATTCAGCAATAATGGAAGTAAGGGCTGGATCAATAGCACAGCGAGTAAGGCCTTGCATGCAGCCAACCCAGGTTCGATTCCTCTGCCCCTCTCGGAGAGCCTGGCAAGCTGCAGAGAGTATCTTGCCCACACAGCAAAGCCTGGCAAGCTACTCATGACATATTCAGTATGCCAAAAAACAGTAACAAGTCTCACAATTTGTCGTGAGACGTTACTGGTGCCCACTCGAGCAAATCAATGAACAATAGGAGGACAGTGTTATAGTGCTACAATGGAAGTAAATTTTGATGATGATCCTACAGAATAGAGGATCCCAGCCCACCTCTAGCACTTTTTATAGAACAGAACTCTCCATACAACTGGAAAGATTAGTGGTTTAAGCAACTGAGTCCTACTCACTTGCTATGTCCGTGCAGCCTGATGGGTGATTGTGTCAAATGGGCCTTAGTGGCAATAAGTCCCAGGAGGACCAGTGTCAGGCTAACACTGGCCTATTTTGGAGGAAGCTAGGACTTGATTGCCTCTCTCAGACTTAACCAGAAGCCCCGCTGCTCTTCTTCATTATGGGGCCACTCCAGGTAGGTCTTGGTATTCATGACCTTGCGCAGTTTACAGAAACGCTGGGGGATGGCCCTCTTCTCTATGGGCTCCAGGAGGACGAGAATAGCAGCGTCGTTGTTCTCGTCGAAGAGCCGGAAATGGGAGAAGTCCAGCTCATACTTGCACCATTCGCTCTTCACAAAGCTTGCCGAGAGCACAAAGATGGTTTTGTGGCTCTTCTCGATGCAGTCAATGATGTTGTCGATGATCCATTTGCCAGGGATGAAGTCCCGCTTGTGCAGACACAGCTTCAAGGGTGGCTCGAAGTGCTCCAGCTCCTGGACCATGAGGGTCTCCACCCAGTAGGAGTCGTGCTCGCTATAGGACACAAAGGCATCATAGCAGATGTCCCTTGGAACTGCCCTCCGGGGCTTCCTCTTGGCCTTCAGCCAGGCCCAGGTCATTTTCAGATACCACAGTCCATGGAAACGGTAACACAGAACCACAATGAGCAGGATCAAGAGGAGAAGGATGCAGCATGTGACGGATACCAGAGCTGCCAGGTGACACTCAGTGACTGGAAGTTGTGTATCCTGAACCCGCTGGCCCCGCACGTAAGTGGGTGAGTCGCACAGGTAATGATCTGGCCAGTCTCTGAGGAGCTGGGCCAGCCCTGGTTGCTCCCGCGTGAAAGAAAGGAACTCACAGGAGCAAATAAAATTGTTGTTCCCCACGTCCAACACCTTCAGCTCTTGAAAAGGGTCAAGTTCCTCCTTGGAGAAAGTATTGATCATATTCCTGCGGATGCTCAGGACTCGCAAGGCAGGTAAGCAGGAGGCGCTGGGGAGTGTCTTCAACTTGTTTCTGGAGAGATAGAGTTCTCTGAGCTGTGGCAGCATCAAAGAAAAGGAATGGAGGTTGTTATTGCTAACATCCAACACTTCCAAGGTGGCGGGGAGGCAGGAGCTCAGACTGTTCATCCGGGTGCTGGATAAATTCAGGTGGTTTATCTTTTCAGGCCAGCGACACGTTGCGGGCATAGAAAGAAAACTATTCTTGCTGATATCGAGCTTGGTCAGATTTTTCAGCGTCAGCAGGATGGTTGCAGTCTTTTCCAACGACGTCAAATGATTAGCCCTTAAAATTAAGGTTCGGAGGCAGGGCCAGGCACCCTCACAGGCGGAGTTGCTCAAGTATTCTTCCACCATTAGATTGTCGCTGAGATCCAAGTACTCCAAGGATCTGAGGTGCTGGGAAAGGGAGCAGGGGACCAGGAACACCTTGCTGTTTTCTATCGTGATGCTTTTCATGCTGCCCAGGAGGGAATAGATACTCTGCAGGTCATAAAATAAGAAGAACTTGGGGATCCGTAGGGTCCTAATGGTCAGCGTCTCCAGGCTCCTGACGGCTTTCACCTGTTTCTCAGACGGGTAAAAAGCTCCCTGTCCATAAAGGGTGCAGTCATCGAACTCTGCTTCCTGCACACCTGGGGCGTGATTCAACAGACTCAGCAGCCCACTGAAACTTTCATCGGTTGCCTCTACGCCTCTGAAGGTGAGCTTTCTCATCAGGGAACTGCCTTTGTAGACAGGGAGGTCTGGATAGTGGAAGTCTTTTAGGTCAGTCCCTCTCAGTTCCAAGGATTCCACAGAATGGAAAACATCCATGAATATTTCCAGCAGCCAAACGTGCTGCTTCAAATGCAGAATCAGGTAGTGGATATGCTGCACGGATGCCAGGCTCGTGGGCTCATACGTCTGCAGACTGGAAGCCTCGATCTCCAGTTGCTCAAGGAACATCAGCCCAGCCAAGTCCGTCTTCTGAATCTTCATGAAAGTAGACCTATGCCCAATCCTCAGAATTCGCAAGTGGGTGAGAGGAGAAAAAAGAGGCCTTGCCCCAAGTGTCTGATAAGGATTTTCTCGTAAATCTAGGTATTTCAAGGAAGACAAGGGCCAGAACCAGGAGGATGATAAATTTGATAGTTGGTTATAGGATAAATCTAAATATTCAAGAAGCCCCAGGGAACGGAAGGAATCTTCCTCTATGCTGTTTATTTCATTGAACCTCAACTTCAGTGTCTGGAGGTTCACACAGCCCTGCAGGTCAGTCTTGCTCATGAAGGAGATCTTATTATTGGACAGATCAAGGCTTCTCACTGCTGCTGTGAGCCCAGAGGGAATGCTGTGGAAGTCTCTAGAGCGGCCATCACAGATGCCACTGGGGTCACAAGATAGGGTGGTCTGAGTGGAGACTCCTTCTTGGGAGAGGATGAGGATGGCCCCCAATGTCCACAGTGTCCACCAAGCACGTGTCATTGTCCAGCAGTTCAACCTACAGAGGGCAAAGGCTCAAATGAGTAATTGTGTTTGACCACCTATGGTCACTGAGTTCCCAAGAAAACATTTCACAGAGGTAGAACACGCAGACACGCAGGTACACTCATGCACAGACACCATGGCTGCAGGAAACACCAGTGAGGCAGAAGGAATGTAAGGAAAGAGACAGAAAAAGAATGTCAGGGCTGGCGAGACAGTGCAGTGGGGTGAGCACTTGCCTTGCACACTGATGACCCGGATTTGATCCTGCCGTACCATATATGGTTCCCCAAGTCCCTCCAAGAGCGACTCCCAGTACAGAGCCAGGAGTAAGCTCTGAGCACCAATGGGAGTGACCCAAGCATCCCCCCCACCCACCCACCAAAGAACTTTTTGTGGCACAGCTCCTGCCATGGATGAGTGTAGCTCTGAGTTCAATCTTTTGCACCACCTAATGTTGCCAAGTGCGTGACCCCAACACCCCTACCACAACAAAAATAATTCTCTATCACAACTGGGAATCTACTGATTTATTGATAAAGCCATAACTTCCAGTTTTTGTGGGGATTTTTTGGGGGGAGAGCATGGTTTGAGTTACACCTGACTATGCTCAGAGCTTACTCCTGACTCTGTACTCCTGACAGTGTTCAGAGAGCCATATGCAGTTCTGGGGATCAAATTGTGGTCAGTCGCATCCCAGGCAAGGGCTTAAAACCCCTGCACTATTTCTCTGGTCCCAAGGCTTTCATTAAAAAATAAAAGAATAAATAAATTAAAAGTTATGGTTAATTCTTAACCAAAAATTAAGAATTTTGAATTCTTAAATTAAGAATTTAATAATAAAACCATTTAGACTCCTCAGCATCCCTAGAGTCCTTTGAAGTTATAAGCTGTGAAATATATTTGATCCCTGGAGTAAGTCCTGGGCATTGACCAAAAAAACAAAAACAAAATTGTTTGTAGAAAGAAATTTGAGTTCTGGGTTGATGTGATTTTTTTCCTTCCTTCCTTCTTTCCTTCCTTCCTTCCTTCCTTCCTTCCTTCCTTCCTTCCTTTCTCATTTTATTTATTGATTGATCTATATATTTTTTTGGCTACACAAGGGAGTGCTCAGGGATAAGTTGTTCCTGAATTACTCCTGGGGGTGCTTGGAAGACCATATGGGATGCCGGGGATCAAACCCAGGTCAGCCGATTGCAAGGCAAACCTGCTGTATTATTGCTCGAGTCCTGATCTTTTTTCTAAAGACAGTTTTCTCTCCTGCAACTGCTGTGAACACTAGTATTTCAGAAGCCATCTTAGTTAGGCATACCATTTCTGTTATTAACACTTGACATGTAATCTCTCTTCCGGTTTCTCCAGTACTTTAGAGCATGGGGCAGATAACTCAATGTAAGGAAGACACCAAGAAAGGAAAAGACAGTGACTAAAGACAATGACTAAGTGACCGAGTAGATGCCTAGCTAATGAGAGATGTGGGTCTGGACAAAGCAGGGGGAAAAAAATCATCTGCTTTGAGAATTCAGAATGTTGCCAGAACAGGCAAGACTTACAGTGCCAGGCTTGGGAAAGGAACAGCACTAGAGACGACGTGCTGTGAACTTTTGCTGATCCAGTGGAGTTTAAATCCTGCGGCTCATAGTGAAACTGTAACCAGAAATGAACGTTAGGGTTATTAGGACTGTGGTGAATGGGTGAAGAGAATTGGGGAAGCCTCTTATGCCAAACGGCCAATAGAGAACTGAAACATTCTCTCCATGAGGGCATGGGCAGGGAGAAAGCGAGCCTTACATGAGTAGGGACCTAAAATATCTCCACCCTCTGGCCCAAAAATCTCACCCACCTGAAAGTTGGCTCACCTGAAATCTGTAAGGAGTTGAGGGGGGCTGGAGTGAGACAGTGATAAGGAGTTTGCCTTGCATATGGCCAACCAGGTTCAATCCCTGGCAGATGCTCCCTTGAGCCCACCAGAAGTGATTCCTGAACACAAAGGCAAAGTGTAGGGAGAGAACAAGAGAGGGGAAGGGATTTTGGGGGGGGGGAGAAGGGGAAGGAAAAGAAAGAGAGAAGAGACAGCCCAATCTGTCTCATATACTGAGAGAATAAGAATTTTTCAGAACCAAAGACAAGTATAAGTCCCTGATTACAAATGCATATTGGAGTCCATGCAATAAAGAAAGCAAAACCTCTTGCGTGAAAATAACCTTCCTGGGCAGCAAAAACATACCCATCTATCCAGACATTCAAAGACTTAAAACTGACTTTGTATTTATAGATTCTTGTTGAGAGAAACTCTTCTAAATATATGGTCTTCAATAATATGAAAAAAGGAACTTAGTAAGAATAGGTTGGTAAGGTGTTTGCCTTGCACGCATTTGACTTCAGTTCCAATCCTGGCACCCCATATGGTGTCCTGAGCCCACCAAGAGTGTTTCTTGAGTGCAGAGCCAAGAGTAACCCCTGAGCACCACAGAGAATGGCCCCCAAACAAACAAAACAGTAGGCTGAAAGAAGCACCAAGGAGTATTTTTAACTGTAATACTAGAAAAGAAAAAAGATTACAGTCAACAACTCTCCAGTAGCTTTTCAGCTTGAAGAAAAAGGAACTGAAACCTTAAATGGTGAAATAATTTTGACAAGCAAGCTTATTGTTGCGAAGGAATAAAGTCACCTCCAACATATTTAGGATAAAATTGCTAATTCAATACGGTGTGGTGGAGAAATAACGGGCTCTACCAGGTCCCAATAAACCCAGGCACATAAAACCCGGGCATAAGGCAGAAGACCACAACGTCGAGGTGTGTGATTATTCTGTGACAGATCCACAAAGAACCAAACTGCCCGTCTCTGGACGATTATGCTATATGACCAGTGACTGTAAATCAAGCTCAGTCACTAAATGCCAAAAAAGATATTTAACAACCAAGTCCTGTTCTTAAATAAAGGGGAAAATAAACGAATAAAGCTGTCAGCTTGTGGCAACTTTCAGAAAATGAATAAATGATAAATACTCCCTCTCCCTTTCATAACAGGAAGAACCTAAAATACCAATGAATGCGTCCTTTGCAAATAATCACTGGCTACTTCCTTCTCACCGGTGTCTCTATTTTCAAGTCAGAGCCTGTTCCCCGGTTTGTTGGTTTGTTTATTTATTTATTTACTTTGCAAAGATCTGGGAGAGTCATAGTATGCAGACAAGACCCCTCGCAAACTTAGAAGCATGTGAACCCCGCGGACACCCCAGGAAAACTAGCTTTTTGTTCCGCTGGATTAAGCACGATCTGAACAAAAAGTTCTCATGGTAGAAATTCAAGTATAATTAGGGGAACTCCAGAGGCTCAGCTAAGAATCTGTCTCTGCTTCTGTGCCCGACGTTCTTTTCTAACCTGATATTCTGACCGGATAATCATGCCTCCGGCTCCGGGTTCGAGCGTGCTGGGCTCCAAGTCCCAAATCCTGCCCCCTTCTAAGCCTCCTGAGAACCAGAAATTCCCAGAAATTGCCCAAGGTAACGGGGAATGCAGCCGCCCCTCCAACATTCAGCCTTTGCAGCATGCGGGGATGCAGGAGTGGATGCTCTGGAGGTGGGGAGGGGTCTGGGGGATGATTGGCGGCGGGGTGGGGGGCTTTCCTTGCCCGCGTCGCGTTGCCCAACTGGGGTTCGGGTGCAGCCAAGCGCAGAGCCGGGATGCCTAGCACACCTCCCGCCTGGACCTACCTGGGGGAGCCGCGGCACCGCCTCCAAACCGCGCTTTTTCGCTGCTCTCGCACGGACGGGGCCTGCTGCGGGGGGTGGGGGGACCCCGCAAGACAGACCAGGGGCAGAATGCGCGCTGCAGAGCGCCCGCTGCTCCCGCGGTGCCCAAACACCCACACCTGGTCGCCCGCACGTGACGCCAGCTCAGACGACTCGGTGCCCCGCGCCCACGAGGCCGCCCTCGCCCGCGGCTCAACTCGGCGTCCGTGGGTCCTGCTGGGTGGGTGCCTGCCGCGGGGCAGAGAAAAGAGAACCGAAATGCCAGCTGCGCTCACGTGGGGCTTCCCCAGGCGCAGATGCCAAATTGCGCAACTGGTGAAAACGCCCTGCTTTCCCGAAGTCAGGGGCCTCTGAAGCCGTCCAGCTTCGTTTCTTCTTCCCGCCCTTGGCCATCCCCGGGAGTATGAGTTTGCTGCTCATCCGCACCCCCTTTTACCTGTCTACGCTCAGCCGATTTGTCTCCACTGTCCTTTGGCATGCAAAGAACTGAGAGATCATCCACCACACAAACACAGGAAGATTTTGCAAGACGAGCAACCTGGATTTTTTTTTTCTCTCAGTCTTGTAACCCTCCCTGACATCCTCTCACCATCTGAGCCCTACGAAGCTCTCTTATAGCTAAGATTAGAACCTGCTCCTCCTGGGCTGCATTTGTCTGTGTTTCTCCAAGTAAGCTGCTCAAACACTGTCCTCCCGTTGTTTATCGATTTGCTCGAATGGGCCCAGTAGCATCTCCATTGTGAGACTTGTTGTTACTGTGTTTGGCATATCAAATACGTCACGGGGAGCTTGCCAGGCTTTGCAGTGAGGGCGAGATATTCTTGGTAGCTTGCCAGGCTCTCCGAGAGGGGTGGAAGAATTGAACCCGGCTCAGCCGGGGCCAGCTGCACGCAAGGCAAACACCCTACCACTGTGCTATCGTTCCAGCCCAACAATAAAACAAAAAACAAAACAAAACAAAAAACTGAGACTGGATTTCTACATGGTCACTGAATTCAGTATGTGTCAGACAGTGAGATATGCTGATGCACTGTAGCACTGTCTTCCCGTTGTTCATTGATTTGCTCCAGCGGGCCCAGTAACTTCTCCATCGTGAGACTTGTTGGTTCTGTGTTTAGCATATTGAATACATCACGAGTAGCTTGCCAGGCTTTGCCAGGAGGGCAAGATACTCTCGGTAGCTTGCTGGGCTCTCCAAGAAGGGCCGAGGAATTGAACCTGGGTCAGCCGCGTGCAAGGCAAACGCCCTACCGCTGTGCTATATGCTGATAAGGGAAATAAAAAGACACTTTAAGAATTCAGCTGCTTGGGGCTGGAGCAATAGTACAGTGGGGAGGGCGTTTGCTTG